AGGCTCCAAACTCATATTTTTTAGATTAAGTATGAGTTTGGCATATTCTAAAAGCCTCATAACATACTCCAATTGTTATAAATGCTCCTCCCAACTTTTGTTATACACCACGATGTTGTCAAAGTAGGCAATAGCAAATTAATCTAGGAAAGGCAATATCAAGTTAATCTAGGAAAGGATGGAGTATAACATGCATTACTAACATAAATGTCACTAACTTTACAATCCAAATAGAATCAACTGTTATTCGCATAAACATTATCATATCTAGATAAATGTCTTCCAAGTATTCTCTTTTCGAACTAAAGCTGGTGGTAGCCAAGTTGAAATCCTGCTTGTAGAAATATATTGACAGTTGTAAATGGTTGATCATCTGACTCCTCGATATTGAGCAATAATTTGTTAGTGAATTTATTTAGCGCCCTATAGTCTATGCACATCCATCTATTGCCATCTTTCATTGGAACTAGCACTATTGGATATCAACATGACAAACGAGTTACCTAGATGGTCTCTTGCTACACCAAATTGGCTATATGCTATCAGATCTCTCCTCCAGTTCAAGTGGAGAATGTCGACACATCATCTAATTTCGTAGAAAAATTGCACCAACCAATGATCATTCATGTTCCACAACCTTTTTTTGTTGCATTCCCTTTACCTCTTGGGAAAAAGATGTACATATCTGCAATAATTGGTTGAGTTGAGTAGAGTCAATGGCAAAAAAAAAGCAATCTTCTTCAACCCCACTATCATTTCATGTAGGAAAAGCATAACAAAACTAAAATCAATAGGGGAATGATTCATTCCAAAAAGGTGTGAAGCATGTCATCCAAATTCTTCTAACTCTTTCAATATCCCTTCTGAATGTAGTAATCTTGTGAGTTACAATTTATGGTCTCTTGACTACTTGTTGATTCTTAATGTTGACTGGTCTCAAAATTTTAAGTGAAATTAGGGTAAACATTCGCTTACTTTTTTTCATGATTTCCCGTACTTCTATAAGCCAAAATCTATGCTCTAATACTAAATTTAACCCCAATCTCAACAATTCCAAGAGATGTTTAATGCATAATACGATATTCTTTAAGCAAAATCCTTACTGCAAATAAGCAAAACAAAACTTTCTTGATCTTGTTATCCCAGTTGATTAATTATTGCTATTAGAAGAAGGTAGAGGCCTGGGAGGTCTCAATGACATTCCAAGAGGCACACCACAGATGACTCAATGGTTGGAAGTCATCTAAGGTTGTTGAATACATAAAACTGAAAGATGAGAAAGGGACGAACATAAATGTTGGGGCTAGTTTGAAAGAAATAACTAGATTACTTAATTGTTTTCCCTAATGGGAGATTAAACATACAAAGGTCATAAATAAGACAGTTAAAAGTAAATCTCAAAATAATAAGGCAAATAACACATCAAAATTAAGGAAATAAATAACAAACATCATAGCAATTCTCAAAAGAAGTAGACAAATCATAACTCCTTAAATCCTAACAATGGGAGATTAGACAAATGATCATAAAAAATTGAAAATCAAATCCTTCTTGAGGATTTATAGCCCCCCTTTCTTGCTTGGCTTTCTAGACAAGTCCATTGGAGCAAACTATGAGAACCTCTCAAATCATTACAAGATCCTATTAGCAATCTCTATATGATATCTTCGAAGGAGGTTTTGACATCAAATAGGCAAAGGGATTGTGAGGAGAAAGGAGAGAAAGAATAGCATTAAAATAATATATAGCATATTAGATAATTTATATTGTCCTTGTTTACAAAGAAATTGAAACTAAGAGACTCTAAATATAAAACTTTTAAAAAAATACATCTTTCACTACAAAAAGGATATTGTACCTTCGAATATCCAATTGGTCGGATTCAATCCAAGTAGGCTCAGTTCAAGCCAAGTCAACCTGATTCAAACCAAGTCGGGCTGGTTCAAGCCACATTGGCCCGATTCAAGTCAATTCGATCTACTCAATCTCGGCTCAAAAGAAACTTACCAGTCTACAAATCAACTCGTTCCAACCAGATGAGTACAACATATCAAGTCGGCCCTAGCGATTACTCAAGTGGGAGACTTTCTTCATATGGAAAATTATTGATTGACTATCAGGCTACTCATCCGCCCATAAACACTTGGCCAGTGATTTCTTATTAGCCTGACAGAGAACTTCCTCAAATCAGATATTTTAATTAGGCTATCCGATATTAGTATTTTTCTCTTACTTTATGTATAGCCATTTATGTAGCTAATTTTATAATGTTCAATCCCCAACCCAAATCTATAAATAGGCAGTCAAGGGGTGAGCTCAGTTTAAGAAATTTCCTACACTAAAGATATTTTACAAAAATTTCAAAGCTTCTAAAACTCGAATTCTTGCTCTCTCAATTTCTATATTATCTTTTCGCTCAGCATAATTTGGTGTGTTTCATGGTCAATTTTAAATACAACATCCTAAAAGACGATATGAACACGAAGCATGCTACAACTAGATGAGTACTTCATGAAGTAGAGTAGCAACACAAAGGGGGAGAAAAATATGTTAATAAGGAAAACAACTAGAAATTCATTAAAATTAGGCAACTTGCTAAATTTGATGAAAGAATTACGAGAATGGTTCAGGGAGCACTAAAATTAAATTTCAAGAATCATTCATGAGGTAGAGTTGCCGGCAGATTCTTCTGATTGTGTGATGAAGAGAAGAAGACTCTTTGGGGGTGGAGCATTAAACTCTACTCCTGTGGCTGATGAGACTCGTCACCCAACAATGAGGAGTTCATCTCGACTCTTCATCAAGAAGAAAACGGGCTGAAAAAGGAAATTGTTACTGATAATGATTCTTAAGGGTGATTGTTAAGGTTTAGCCTCCAACAAAGTTCAAAATTCATCACTTAGATTTATACAAGAGAAAAAAGTGTTCAGCCAACCATGTCGCATATTTCGAGTTGATAGCCTCATTGATCGACATTGATGATGCATTAAAATGTAGATTATTCTTCACCATCTTAAAAAATCGCCTCTAAAGTGGTTCTTGCATCTTCCAATCAACATGATCACTTCATTAACCAAATTCAAGAGAATGTTTATCACTCAATTTGTCATTGCAGGAAAACTTCTTAAGAATTCACAGGACTAGCTGTAAATGAGATAAGAGCCAAGCGAGTCAATGAGGAGCTTCATGACCTAATTCTAGAAAGAGATGAAGGATATGAATGATATAGAGCCGCATGTGACCTAAGCCATTCTAACTGAAGGTTTGCCATAGTGACATTTCAAATGTACATTCAACTTGCAATAGCTAGAGACTTCAACGAGTTGTTGGAATTTGCCAATAGTCATATCAATACAAAGAAGTATAATACTGAGATTAGTGCAGTTGCAACAACAAAAAGGAAGAAGTAGAATTATCTAGAAGAGAAACTTTGCAATTTTCTAAGGACTAGAAAAGTCACCACAACATTCATAGAAATGAACAAAGATTCTTCAATGATCAGATAATAAATGTGAACCATCAGCAACTTAAAATAGGTGATACAGTCGAATGGATCCATCTTCCTCTTATATGAGCCCAAGTGAGGAATCATGAATTTTGTTAAAGGGTTAGACTGGACAATCTCCCCTGAGAAAACATTTTACAGCAGAAACTTTCTCTTCCCAGCCTACCTTTCTTCTCACCGAACAATTAAGGTCAACTCCTAACTGTTTGAAGCATAAGTATCATCAACCATTGAAAGTGGAGGTCAATATGCTAGTTCCCGAGAGTCTTCTTGACAATTTCCTTTTATTATTTGTACTTTTGAATATAATTTTTTGTTTCCTTTGATAAATTAAATGAATGAAAAATAATGATACATAAATACAACTATAAATATTAAATCATTATGATAATGTCAATGATAATAGTAGCACGCCTTATATGACATTTCTAATGAAATAAATAATGTCAACTTAAATGTCAACCAATATGAAAAAAAAAATTAACCATTTTGAAACTCTCCCCGACAAAAATTAAATTGAAGATATTGTTACACCATTTCGCTCTCATTTTTCATTGCAAGAAAAACACAATGGTTTATTTGGTTAGTTGAATGGGAGACATATTATTATAATAATACATTTCTCTTATTTAATTTGATTATGTACTATGTATGAAGAAGTTGCTATGAGAAGTCAATTTAAGGCTTGATGGCTAATATCTAGTTTTGGGGTAATTTTAAACAAGATGAAAAAAAAAACTGCAATCTCTATTGATCATTCCGAATAGTAATTGCATCTTTACAAATAGCTACATTGGACTAAACAGCCAGTAATAGATTGAACAAATATTCAAGATGACAACACTTCAATCTAGATATTGTACCTTAATATTTGCACAAACTTGACGGAGCTTGTAAGTAAACCTATTTTTTTAAGAACCATAAAGCATGCGGAATGAATTCACCAATAAGGTGATATTATGATTTGTCTCTCACAAGTAATCCCAATCCAAACAAATCCATGATTGGTGCATCGTTTTGAATGCTTTTCCTATTTATGTTACCTTTGTAAATATGAAAAACGCAAAATTAAATGATCAATATTCCATTCTGCCATATTTCCGCATTAAACAAGAGATACATGAAGCGGAAAGAGAAAATACTGTCCCTGAATCTATTTCTTTTAACATCAACGCATCGATAGTACTTGCAAAAAATACAACCAGGATTATTTATTAAAACCTAGTCTAATTGCAGAATTCTTCATAGGAGGACAAATCAATTTAAAACCCTAATTTAACCAACGAAGTTCAAACAAAAATATCCAAAACCTCCCCGTACTCAGTGACCAAATCAACAAAAACCCTGAATTCGGTTTGCCGGCCAAAAGACGCTGAACCACCACACCATACACATATGAAAAGCTCGATCGCCTCTCAAAAAATATCAAACCGTCGATAAGACAACTTACTACAAAACGCAATAAAAAATAAACACCAAAGGCGCGCCCCCTTACCTTGGATATTCGCGATCAAAACCTCTACAACCGAACCCTTTTCTCGATCATATCGAACAAGACGATGATGGCGGAAAAAGAAGCCAATATAATTGCATCGGGGATTTTAAGCCGGGAATTTGGATCTGCAAGTAACCTAGCGACACATAGAGGAGAGGGGGAGGAGAGAGAGTGGGGGTGAGTTTATGCGAGGGGGCAGCGTGTAGGACAAAAGACCGACCGCACGCAATGGGCGTGAAGAATAACAGGAGGAGTCGAAACCAATTTAAGGGTATTTATGTAATTTCATATTCACACAGCGAGGTGGTTTTGCTCGCCTCCGCTGTCCCTGCGGTGCCTGTCGGCCGGGTTCAGAGATGGAGATTCGATCCAACGGTTAATGTTGTGCATGGGTGGTTGAGATAAGCGTGCCTGGTCCCCAGCGCTCGATTATTCGTTCCGACTGAATGGGCCGATTATGGTTGTCCCTCGACAAAATCGGTACAAATATGGGCACGTCGGCCCACATACTCAATGCGTGTGTACGATACTCGCTAAAGAACTGATTATAAATTCGATTAATTGTGTTTTTGGCTTATTGCTAAGATGGCTGAGATTAATTAGAAATTTATTGTGGAATTTTTTTTTGTAAAATAGGTTGGATTATTTGTAGACACATATGGCACTGATGTTATCTGAAAAATAAACCAAATTATCTTATTTGTTAAAACATTTTATATGTTGCTTTCTCTAGAAAGAGATATTCTTATTTGTCTCATTACATAATAATAAATTACATGATTGATAATTGCATGAGAGGTCATAGGTAGGGGCAATGGGGCCCAATGAGTGTAGATTTCGAGAGATTATTTTGTACGTATACCAGCCGGAAGAACCGTCTGGTTTACGTTTAGGTACCGAGTGCTGAGTAGTGAGTACCGCTCGGTATTAGCTCGGTACAGCATGTGGCGCATTTTTATTGGGATTTGGATTCCGCACAGGATAATTTTTCATAGATTTCATCAATTTGCATGAATTTAAAATAGATTTGATATGTCACAAAAAATTATCTTGATTTAGCATGAATCTTTAGACATTAATTAGAAACTTCCTAAATTAAATTTGGGACAATCTAAAAAAATTTCATTAAACTTATAATTAAAATGAACAACTTGACGAAACGAGCCCAACGACACTAAAATTAGTCCAATCCGAGCCCAAAATGGATCAAAATCAAACAACTAAAACATATTTAAAAGCTTCAAAGCATTAATTGGATAATAAAATAATATTCAAATATGGCATGCTTATAATCGAATTGAGCGGCACGACGAGACGAATCAAACAAGCCCAATAGCGCTTAATTTTAACATCATTATGGCACTTAAATGCTTGACAAACGCTTCATGATCGAGGGAAGCAACATGGGTTGTCCGATGGAACATTCTAAATTTGTCCCAAATCATTTTTATATTTACAGGACATGTCACTCTTAAAATATATAAATAAAACTCTTTTTTCTACATTAAATAGATGAGACTTTTATAGAAGGCTAAAACATTAGCTATGGATTTAAGATAGTTTTGAGACTTGAAGAATCAAGGAGCTCCACCCCGATATCATAGCCGATGAACCCTCGCAACTCGACCACCATTGCTCAACCTTCTCCCCACCATCGTCGTCAAACTTATGTCCAGCTGTCACTGTCGGCTCTTCGGCCAACTTCCGTCGCTTGCCGACTACGATTCTTTAGACCACCGTCGCCCGCTAATTACTGTCCATCCACCACCGTCATTGGCTTATGGTCCCTCCGACCTTTGTCTTTTGCGTCTATGGTCCCTCTAACCATTGTTGCATGCTTTTGATTATTTCGACCTCCATCGACTGTTGACTATGGTCTCTGCAATCATTGTCACTTGATAATGACCATTACAAGCTTCAGCGTCCATTGTTTATGGTCCCTCCAATCATTATCGTCTGACTGTGGTCCTTCCAACCTCCATCGCCCACCATCTACGGTCCCTCCCACGACTGTTGTCTAACTATGGTCCTTTCGACCTCCATCGCCCGCCATTGACAGTCTTCCAACCACTGTTGCCTAACTATGGTCCTTTCAACCTTCGTCACTTGTGGTCTACAGTCCCCCAATTTCCGTCACCTAACTACAATCCTACTGACCTTTGTCGCCCTCCGACTATAGTCCATCCAATCACTATCTCCAGATTACGATCTTTTCGACCTCCATCACATACTACGATCATTATGACCTCCGTCGCCCACTAATTACGATATTTCCAACCTCGATCTATCGCCTAAATACAATCCTACCAACCAAATGAACATGTCAATAATCTCTTGAGGATAACTCTCATATCATTTGATTCTTCCCTATATAGTATATATTTGCTACATTGAGCTAACACCTTCCCTCAGGGAAGGACATTATTTTTTGATTAACAACCAACACTAGTGGAATCATTTCAACTGGACAAGGTCCCGTAGTTTTACCCTCTATTTAGGGTTTTCCACAAAAAATTTTGGTTTCTTATGGTTGCTACAACCCTCTCTCTCTTACATGTATGTGAGTTGAATCTTCGTACAAAGCTATGGCGCTAAACTCTATATCTCTCTACCGCCGGTAATATTCGGGCACGCAACAAGATCAAAAGATAAATTTTTGAGGTATTTCAAACTTAGATCTAATAAGAATTTGTTTCTTAATAGGACAAAAATAGAGAAAAAGAATTCATGTAGCTAACCCCAAGTAGTGGGATAAAGACTTGATATTGTTTTTCTTGTTGTGAGGTATTTCAAACTATTCATAAAATTATTTTGCATAGGTTCTACTTTATATCAAATATCTTGCAAAACATTTTTGTTTTCATTTTACATTGCATCCTTAATATTCAAATCAAATAGCTTTAAAAGATTTTTTTTTTCTTCAAAATTCTTTCACATGCTATACCTCTATAAATATTGTTGTGGAGTAAGAATTTTTTTTTGTCTTTACACAAAGATCTGTACACATACATATAAGACAACCTCGCAAGTGACACAATAAATTTTATGTGAAAAACTCATGAAGAGAAAAATCTTAGAACCTAAACTAATTGAAGTAATCTTTTAAATAGGTGAATATTACAAAAGTCTATACTTCCTCTTAATTATAGAAGATGCAATTATCAAGTATGTATTGCTAACTCTTCTATGAGTGTAGTGAAAAGTATTGGAGTAGTGAGAGATGATATTAATGAATGTTAGTTGTGGTTGATAAAAGAAGGCGAGAGAGATGACAATCATTGATGTCGGTTGATGGTGAGCCTCAACAAATGCGAAGTTAATTTCCAAAAGGCAACAACGTAACAATCCAAAGACAAAAGTCTAGAAAAGACAATCGGGTGATGATGATCGAGTGGTGATAGTTGTCGATGATGAAATCATAATGTTCATTTTGACTATAAGCATGCAATATTTGAAGCTTGAATGATCTATTAAACAATGTCTTAATGTTTCTTGCAATGTTGGAGTAATTGATTTAGGTCACTTCAAATTCAATTCAAGACACGTTTGATGTCAATTAATTCATCTCATCAAAAATTTCATTTTGATTATAAATTTGTTGAAAATAGAGTTTGAATAGTCATTAAGAGGATAATACAAAATTTAAATCATGTACTTTTATCAATATCCACCCTAGCTAGTTGAAAATTTTTATAGTGATGTAGCAAAAATGTTGTCATATATTATTTAAAACATACGACACTCAAATTTTCAAACAATTTTGATGCTCCATTGCGGAAGGTTCTTTAGTTTGTACTCTAAAGCTAGATTCTTCATTTTATGATTGCTCTTTATGTAGTTCTATTTTGGGCAACTTATATTATTATATTTCTCTATCAAAAAAATTTAAAAAATATTTACTTAATTATTATTTTGCCATTTTATTCAAATAATATTAATTTTTGTCATTTGTTTACCTTATAATAAAAAAATATATATAAAAGCTGGCCCAAATAAAACCTAAATATAAAATAATTAGCACTTTAATCAATTGATCCAAACTGAATAATCACCATTAGTTATGTCATTCTAGCAACTTGTGCTTAGCTTTGCAAAAGGTAAAACCTTCACTTTCTTACTCTGGTACATGATGTGCCTATTGTATTGTAAAATTTTTTTTTTATCATTTTTCGCTCTACCAATAATATTTTTTGTTTGTTCGAAGTACCATTTTTTCATATTGAGATTTTATTAGAAATAGTTTTCTTATAATATTATTGTGTAAAGCTACTTTTAAAAATATTTTGTTGAAGTTGTTGTAGAAAACAAATTTTTAGCACAAAAGAAAATTTATAAGTGATAAGAAGTTATCACAAATGGGACAACTTTTTTATCATTTTTTAAAATAGTTGTAGAGAAATTAACTTTTTAAAGCTATTATAGAAAACAACTTTCTAGTTTTTTTTTTCTTTTTTTGAAATTAATGAAAAAATAGTGACCATATAAGAATTAATTTTGCAGTTTAAAAAGCAAAATAGTAAAAAAAGCAGTCCCTATCTAAACCTTGATGTTTGAAAAGTTGTTAGCAACATAAGATGTTCACTTATCATGTGAAAAAGGCTAAAATTTCATGCCTTCATTTTAAAGAGCCACCAATACTCTAAACTTTATTAAATTAAGACAAAATCTATAGTATTACATATACTAATAACTTTTTTTTCATTCTTTACCTCACATAGCGCCAACAATGGAGAGATTATTATGTGCGGAGTCTGGACACAGAGAACCGTTCGGTCTTATGACTGTGAACAGTAAAAGTGCAAGAGTGACAGTAAAAGTGTAGTGGCGAACAATAACTGTGATTTTACTGTTCATAGTCATAAAATCGAACAATTCTCTATGGTCGTATATAGCACATAATAATCTATCCCAATAATATGACATATAAAATGCATGGTGGATCACAACAATGAAGCATGAGTTACACCAAATCCAAACAATCATGCTTGAATTACAACATAAATTGGGTATTCATGGTAGAAAACCTCAATTTATGCACTCTCAACATGGCAAGTCCTACTTAAATTGTAGTATGTCTAACCTACACATCTAGACCATCTAGATGATAAGGATATGTTGAAACTCAGCCACCACTTGCATATTTTGTATTAATTAGGTTTATCAGTCATACAACTATATGCCCAAAAATATGAGAGCTCGATTGGTAGGATCTATTCAATCAAATCTGTTCTACTCCAAAATCACATGGAATCTCACTTGAATCTCCCTGCAAAACAGTATGAATATTGCAACTAGTTGGTTGATTTAGCTGCTAAGGGTATGCCACATCTCAATGCCTATAAACAATTTATCCTTGTACCTCCAAAGGAGACCAAAAGAGAGACATTTTATATCCAAAATTATTATGTTTATAGCACATATGTATGTTATAAATTCTAAACTTATTCTAATTTAATCAACAAAAATTAAAATTGACAATCATTGACTCAAAGGCAGCTCACTTTAAATAAGTTTGATTCATCTTGAAATTAACACTTAATGCATATGTAACATCAATACATTTGAATGATATGAATTTTTAAATTTTTCCCGAAATTTGCCTCTTGGAGCACTACGGTGTTGTGCTTTCGGGTGTAGCGTCGCTGAGAAGTGCCCCAAAAAGTGGTGCATTAGCGCTATAACTCTCGGCGCAGGCAACGGCGGAATTGTTCGACGAAAATCTTGCGGCGACATTTCCGGCGCAACATACGCCGTAACGTTACCGACGCTGGTTCCGCCGGCCAATCCGACGGTATAGTAATGTTTGAACTAATTCCGTCGCACGTTACGACGGAACATTTCCGGCGTACGTTACCGGCGGACATTGCGCCGGCGTATTTAAACTCAACGAAATATGACCGACGTAGCTTGCGTCGGAAATGATACCGACGTCACCGGCGTCGAAACCGTCGGAAATTCCGCCGGTAAAGAACGATACAACGAATTGTATCGTGCGTATCGACGTCTTCCTTCCGTCGGTAACTACCGGCGCATCTTCCGTCGTCAGTTCCGCCGCCGATTTTGCGCCGCAAACAAAGCCGTGGGTTGTCTACGGCGAACTTGCGGCGTTTTATCCGCCGGTACTTACCGGCGGACAATCCGACAGAAACTTACCGTCGCATATGGCGCCGGAATTTATCGGTTGCAAGTCGTCGGCACCAACCCGATGTTTTACGCCGGTAATCCGTCGGTACGTGCGCCGGAACGTTTTCCGGCGTATTATATTCGTCGGGAAAAATTTATCGACGCGACCGAAACCGGCGTATGAATTTCCGCCGAAACGTGCGCCAGAAACCTAAGGTTCCGTCGGATTATCTATGTGTTCCGGCGGATTTAGTCCTCCGGTAATAACGGGTTTTCCTGTAGTGTGTGCATTATCATAAGAATTGTATGGCTTGTATTTCTTGTTGTATAACATTACCATATTTCTACTCATGGCATTCAAAGGTCATTGTTTGTCCATATGGTATTCGTGAATGCTTGATATAAAAAAATATGAAGATGCTTTGCATGTGGATGACTTCTAATTTCATGCATTTCTTTTTGCATGTTGACACTTGCATTTTTTATGGTTTGATAAGTCGGGTCTCTATCTCATAGTGGATTTCTTTATTTGGTTATAAATATTTTAGCTTACCTTAGACTTTTATATATATTCTTGGAAAAGATTTTGATTCAACAAATTTGATTTGAAGCTCTCAATCACTTTAAAGACTCAGAAGTGCTCACTCAAGCTTATCAATAATTTCTTTACATGGCTCAAACTTAAGTGCATTCTTCTTCCTCTCCATTATATTGGAAATTCTGCAATTCTTCTTTCTCCTCCTTAGCCCTATAATGTCCCATCATAATAGTACATTGAGATCTTAATAAACTTTAGTCAACAATATAATGGGCGTAGGTCATTTGACAAAACCACTCTAAAAATTCCTTATATATTATTATTATAACATATAAACACTGCGCTTTTACTATTATAAATTACGGAGTACAAACGACTTATAAACTTAAAAAAACAAGCGGTTGACCCCTGCCAAGGGGTGCTGCCCCTCGGACCCTTACCAGGGGGCGCTGCCCCTCGGACCCCCGACATACTAAGTGTACAGAAAAAAACTATTATTCCTCATTTATTCATTGGCTTTTCCTCCAAATCAGTATTCATCTTCATCGACTTTTCCTCCTCTGACCCAATCCTCATCTTCATCTACTTTTTCTCCTCCGAATTAGCCTTCATTTTCATTGGCTTTTCCTCTTCTCTTATTTCTCAGTAGCTATGAAAAGTTTATTGATCTAAATTCTTAAAAAAATAGAACTTTTGCGGTTTTTCATTTAAAAAAAGAGCGCCAATCTTAAACCCTAATTTTGAATAGGAAATTTTTGGACCGGGTTTGTCGGGTTGGCAAGGAAAAAACTAAATGCGAAATAGAATTATTATCCACGTGCACAATTCAGGTGTCACAATTTTATCAGAGTCCAGACACAGAGCTATGTCTGAACACCGCACAGAATAATTTCTCCTTGAATTGAGCTATACTTGTTGAACTATGTATTATTCTATTAAATGTAAATTGAATATGTATCTATTCTATTATTATAGTTAATTATATGATAATATTGTTTTTTTATCACCACATATAATGTGCATTTTTATCATATATTTTTGGCTATGGTGTTAGTTTATCTATTAATGTGGCATAAATTATTATATGTTATACTTTATCATTGCATTCAGTTATCAAACATTATAAACTTTATTAATAATCTTATGTTTGTTTAGTTGCATTATTTTATAGTATACTTCATGTCAAACTTGAAATTCTATGAATTATTATAGAGTATATAGTATTATATACATTATCATCAAGGTGTATGACATGTATTTCACTTAGTATGACTAAAATAATAATATTATACTTGTAGAATTTAGGATGATTGTATGTCCATATGGACCTTGGATGTATGATGTGTGAAATACATAAATGCCTTGCTTGTGAATTCATTTTATTGAGATATTTAGAAGTTGTTTGGTTTGCTGAAAAAATAATATAGTGTAAAAGGAATACTTAGGAGTTGTTCGAAAAAATGTAAAGTGTGACTATTTTTTTGTTATAAATAATGAATGTAGAGTAAAGTCTTAAAAGGTGATAGCGGCAGCCCGGAGTAGTTGGCTGCGATAGTGGTTGTCGCCAGTGGTGGCAGTCGACGACCAGCAGGTGGTAGGCGGCAGCGGCCAACTCCTGGTGGTGGTTAAGCAAGTTTGTGGTGTAAATGATTTTCACTCAAAATTAGAGGAGTTTGATTTATACTCAAAATCAAAAGGAGTTTAATTTATACTCAAAATGATCTAGTTTACTTTACATATATTTATTATACTTTACTTTGCATCATTTTGTATTCCGACCAAAATTCAACTTTGTAAAGTCCCTATATTTGAAATATTTATACCCTAAAATAATCCAACCAAAAGTCTCTTAGTTCAATTATAAATTTGTTGAAATCAAAATATAAATGCATTTGAATAAAAATATTTAAAAAATTATTCAATATTATCCCTAAATTTTTGAAGAATCAAATTCAATTTTTTGACGTCTGAAGGCTTTTTCACCTGTTTTCTCCAACAAATTCCCCAACAAAATATAAGACCCTCCCTTTTTCAACCCGGATTGCCGAAACGTTGAGGAAAAACTTGCTCGCAAAATTCACATGAAAGAGAAAATGTTATTTGATCTGCATTTCGGTCGATCCAAATGGCGTTGAAATTGCATTGAAATGGATCTCTTCTGTTAATTCGGGTTTCTATCAGTTAGATGCCAATGCAGATTCAATGGGATTTTCTCGAGCTTGAGAATTGGTAAGCGGGATTTTTTTTTCCCGGGCGGTGCAGCTCTGAGCGTCTTAGCGACCAAATCCAAACACGGAACAGCTTTTAATTCCCAGCTTAGTGGGGCCACTCCTTCGGCTCCAACCCACGTTGATCTCTGATCCGCCCATCCTCTTCTCTGCCGATCTAGCTAGGGCTAACAGAGCAAGGCCCGAAAAATTCAAAGAGAAGGTTGAGGCCGGTACTGCCGTAGTGGCGCCGGTGGCGGAGAGAAGCTGGAGCCGGAGATCTAATAACTTTGCCGAGCGTTCTCTGCCTCCGTAGTTTTTCTATTATTGTTTTGCTTCTTCGCCTTTCTGGTTATCTTCAGTGATACACCGTGAGTTTGTGGAAAAGTATCTAGGGGACAGTGAGAAGGGTAAGGGGAGATAATGATGAGGGAGGTGGTACTGCACGTGTACGACGTGACGAACAGCGGATCAGAGAAGACGAACAATACGATCCTGCAGATCAACAGGATCTTCAAAGATCGCATCGGCCTCGGCGGCATCTTCCACAGCGCCATTCAGGCACACCATCCAAACCTCTAACCCTATAATTTAACCCCTGTCGTTTGCGTTGTCTGAAAATATGTAGAAGTTTTTGCCCTAGCGTTTTTATGATCCCAACTGGATATGGTTTAACCGCTTTTATTCTTCGAATCGCTGCTTCCATTTCTATTTGTGTTTTCTTTTGTTTGAATGGTTGATGGATCTTGCGCGGGGAATGAAAACGTAGCTCATTCTGTGGTATTTGTTGAAGAATCTAGGGCAAGCAAGTTCTCCATGCTCTAGTTCTTCGACCTTAACTTTGTAAATTTGCAACTGAGTTTGTGCATAGGAGTGTTTTGCTTAGAGGAGCAGTGATTTTAGGAACGCTAATTCTTGTATCAATGGCATACTTTTTGCCGAAGATTTCTGAAGCTTTTTTAAGAAATAAGTAAACATATATGATATTTTAATCAGTTTCAAGGAGCTCTTGTTTTAGACTCCGTCCTCCTATTCTCCACAGAATTTTGCACGAGCAATGATTCTCACTTAAATAAGCCTGTAAATAAGAGAGCTTGGGCATTTTTTTAATGAGTAGGTCTGTAAATAAATTGAAAGCATCCCTAGGTGGCTCACATTTCCTTGTGGTTGTAGTACTAATAGTCCATTTTACTTTACTTACTTGTGCACTTCAGTTTGAATAAGATCAGGGCAATCTCTAATTTTGACTGCAGTTTTGATATCAATTTCATTCCCATCATGTTCGATTATGTTTTTATTTCTTGTTTTTATTTTCAAAAACAACTTCTTATATTAGAAAAAACATGTTTGATTAATGATTTCTATTTTTTTTTGGCAAACAAATGAATGTGTTTTAAAAAAAATTTGAAGTTCCATATAAGGTGTTTTTATCTGTTTTGGATGTCAATTGGATGAACCCTTGTTGATGGTCACCTTGTTATTTTTTTTCTTTCTTATCCTCTCGAAATCACCTTTGAATTGCTCAATATTTTTTCTTGATTTCACCCTTAATGTTGATACAGAATTAAAAGGAGCATAGAAAGAGATCTTTTGAGAGAAAGAGATAGATTGTTTGGTTTAGAGGGGAATTCCAAGTAGAAGGTACGACAATTTTGGATGAATTACAATTTTGAATGTAGGAGAAGAAAACATAGGGAGGAAAGAGGGGAGATAATAATGGAGAGGGAATATTTCTAAATTTTGTTCATAATTGGTTAATTCAATTACAAGCAATAAGGCCCTTATTTATAAATTTAGAGTTGCATTTTAAAGTTAAATGTTAAAAAACTTAAATATAGGCGTGTCTAATAAATATTATGATTGAATTTGAAATAAAGGTAATATTAAAAGTTGATTGCATTAAAATTGATATGACATTCATAAAATAACCTAAAATATTAGATAAATCTAGAATAATTTTGATGTCTTGTATTGCATCATGATATAACTTTTGGTTCTATTTCATGTTTTTTCTGATTCACTATGTGCTTGCAATGGTGTGTTCTTGATTTAGTTATGATTTTGGTTTTGACAATGGTGGTGATTCAAAGAGGTTTGCATTTTAATTTATTGTCATAATGCCCTTTAATTTTGTAGGTTTATGGAGATGAAGAATGGTCGTTTGGCTTCTGTGAAAATGGTCCTGGAGTTTTTAATTGCCCTTCTGGTAAAAACCCAATGTATACCTATCGCGAGAGGATTGTCCTTGGAGAGACTAATTGTTCATTGTTAAAAGTAAAACAAATATTGAGGGAACTTAGTCGAGAATGGCCCGGTGACTCTTATGATCTTCTATCAAGAAATTGCAACCATTTTTGTGATGTATTCTGTGAAAGACTTGATGTGCCAAAATTGCCAGGTAACATAGGCTCTAACTTTAAGGAATAGAAGTTTCTTATTATATGATTTACCACTGCCTAATACACTTTGTTACTTTATTGTTGTTTGGTTATCTATATTTATTCTTTATTAATTTGCATATTGTTTCAACAAGCTCATTTTTGTATATTAGCCTTCTAAATTAATATTTTTGTGGAAGGGTTTCAACTTTGATTGACACTTCATGTTATTGGTTATTGGGTATAATTCAGGTCATTCTAAATTAGATTTGTATCTTCTATAAATTATCTTTAGAACTTAAATCATTATTTAAGATTTTGGTATTTTTCTAAGCAGATGTAGGAATCAGTATCATGCTCTCTTATAGTATCATGCATCAATAGCATACTTTTCCTTTGATTATTCCTTGCCTTTTACCTGCAGAACGGATTAAATAGTTTTTGATGCCCATAAATCATTCTTCCTTCCATGCTTCCACATAGGCTTTGGAAAGGGTTTGGTGCACATTACTTGTTAATTTACTCTCTTGTTCGTTGGACAAGTTTTTAAGTGGACATTAGTTCCAATATGCGGACACTTTTTATTATTATCAAACGATGATGTTGTACTTCTTGAATATGTTATTAGATCTGGCACAATAGATGAATTTAGGACAACTAGAAGAGACCAAGAAGCGGCGATGCTTAAAGCAAAGGAAAAATGAGGATGATGGAATCAACTAGTGCTATTCAGCTACCTCAACCAGTTCAATAGTTTTAAGAGAACATATTTTAGTTAAATGGAATAGGCATTCATTTATAGACACTCGGTATCCATCTAGATGTGATATGGATTCATGAATCCTCTATAGCTCCCTCCACTAATTGGTAGATTTCGTAAATCTTTCTCATCTTTATTTCTCCCTAATCCTCTACTTTAAAAGAACTCATCCTCAAGCAATTTCAATTACTAAATTTCTGAGCAATGGGGTGCAATAAAATATTGATTCGCGTTATAGAATCCATGGAGTGTAATTTTAGTAGTAATAGATCAAGTGGTACGATTATGACATTTGGTGATCAAGTTATCAAAGAGTACATGTTTTATATATGTCGGGTCTATTGTTCAAAGCAATGGTGAAATAGATGGGAATGCTATTAGTAGAATTCAAGTATGGATGGTTGAAGTGGAGGAATGCAATGAGTTTTGTTGTGTGATAGAAAATTATCCCTCAAATTTAACGTAAAATTTTTATATGATGGTGTTGAGACCTACAATACTTTATGGCGCAAAATGTTGGCCATTAAAAGGGAATTAAGTTAAGTGCTGTAGAGATGAGGATGCTTAGGTTGTTGAGTGGCTTTGCACTTAGAGAGCGCGGAACTGGTATATACGTGAAAAGGTTGGTGTTGCTCCAATAGTAGATAAGATTAGAGAGTCACCTTAGATGGTTGATTACATAAAGTGTCGGCCTTTCGATGACCCTGTTAGCTGAGCAGATTTATTAGATCCAACCTATGTTAATAAATGTAGAGGTAAACCTAAAAAGATTAGGTTAGAATGTATTAAAAATAATATTTTTTATTAGATTTAAATCAGAAGTTGACTTTTAATATGTCACAATAGAGAAAAATGATTCATATAGTCAACCCAACATAATGATATAAAGGCTTATTGTTGTTGTATTCACTTTATAGGATTAATTGACATAAAACAATGCTTGAGCTAATTTATTGAGCTTTGAAATACTGCCAAGAAATTGTTTATATGTAGTGTCATCATTTTAGTAATTTTTTTTCTCATAGCTAGTTAGATTAATTCTCAAAAATGATTATATTATTTGGTTTGCATGTGTTTAATGCATTTTTGAGCAGGTTTATTATACTTTACTTTATATCATTTTGGTGAAAGAAATTAATTATTTGGTTCTTTTATCAAATTCTGTCTCATCTCTAATTTCTTGCCAATTATGACCAAAAAATCCCATCCCCTTCTTAAATTTGATTTAAAAGGTTTATTCAAATTTCTCCCATGCTCAAAGCATTAACTAAAGAGAAAATGACCAAAATGATTCTTCAACTTTTTGTGAGGGGCCAAAATAGTCTCTAGCTCTTTTGAGGGACCAATTTGATCTCTCAATTCTTTAAAATAGGACATTTTTGGTTATAATATCTAATGTTGGAATTAATGATGTTAAATGTAAGGGTATTTTGTTCATTTTTAATTAATATTTATTAAATATAATTTTCAAGATAATTATGTTTTTCTAAAATTTTTTATTACATGTTTCTTTAATAAAAAAATAATTTTAGTTTATGCTCCTTTTCTTATAAACTAAATGTAAAATGGGCCTATATGTTAACTTCTAGTAAGATTATAGGTACTCTTCAATGTGAAGATCCTAACATATATTATAGGTTAGATAATGATTAATAAAAATCCTAATTTAATTTAGTTAGTTTATGTGAAGCTCTATCACTATTTCTTTTCTTCTCTTCTCTTATTGATGCATCATGATTCTAGTGTATGAATTCTCAACCTGGATGTGGGTTTAGTTTCTGCTTTCCTTTATTTCTTGTAGTTCATCACATGCAACACAAATAGAATGGGCTTGAATCCTTACTTTAGAAACCGGAATAACCTACTTTGCTTGCTATTTTCCTAGTTTCCTCACATATATTTTGTACTATAATTATTTCTAATATCATAATTATATTTTGTCTTGGTGCAAACCCCACTTCCTGTTTCGAGCAAACTTATAAAAACAACTTAATCGATGCAGCCAAGTGCTATTTTTGATAATCATAGAAAATTCTCCACATTATTACGGGTTTAGCCCTACCTTCACTTCATTGCTGCTTTAGTTCACTCCATCACGTTCACTACCTCAAATTGTTTATCACTCTTTACTATTTCTTAGACTTTTTTAGATTGGTGTTGTGATTTCATGTTAAATTTTGAAAACAATGCTACTTGTCGAATTAAAAAAGTGCTTCCAAATGCTTTTGTGTATCCAATATTATGTTGCCTTCGATAAGCCATTACTACATACTATTACTGACATGGTAAGATGTATTGCTTTCATTTTAAAACCATAATAATCATCATCTTCTTAACCTAACAATCTGGGATTGGCTAATTTGGTGATATATTGTGTGTTAACTTTATTTATGTTTTTTTTTACAAAACTTTTACCATACTACCTTTAGTTTATCTATTTTTCTTTCTAATAATCTCTATTAATTTATTTACTTTTTTTTTGGTGCATCTTCTAAATATTACTGTAAACGGCCAAACTATTTAAATCTATTTTTCTCTACCTTTTTTTGATATATGTTATTTTCATTGTTCCTTAAGTATAAATTTTTTTTATTGTGTTCTTTTCTTTCTAGTTTTAGCATATGCCACTCAAAATTGCAATGACATCACTCATATCCAACAAAACATAGTATCATTAGAATTGACCTTTAACTGTATGCATGTTCTTGTAATATATAATACTTTTGAGGCACTTCTTCTTAACCGCTTAAGGGCTATTGGTTTGTTAAAAAATGAATGCAAAGTAAAAGGAATGCTGTGTAAAATGAAATTTGGGTGTTTGGTTTGATGCAGAAGGAATGCAATATAAAGTTTTAGTTAATTACTTTTTCACTATCTAGTTGGTTTTTAATGTATTCTAAATTCACCCAGTTTTGACTGAATTCCTTTTTATCGCAAGCCAATTGAGTTGTCGCTGCCCGCGCCCACCTCATGGTGGGTGGCTGGCACCTAGCACTGGTCGCCTGTCATCGCCCATTGCTCATCTCTAGCCGATCGGTCGTCGATTGCTGCCATAAGTCACCAGTGCTCATCACTAGGTGCTAGCCACTGATTCTTTCCATTACCGCACGCTGCCAGCCATCGATCACCAGTCACTGCAAAGCCCTACATGGGGTCCTGGTTGGGTACCCATGCTTTACTCGGATGGGCTTCGCCCACCCACGCCCACCCATGGTGACTTTCGGGATGTCATACCCACCTATACCCACCCACTTTCCATACTTTTGAACGCAATCTGCCACGGACTAATGGCCTTGAGGCTTGTTTCCCTTTGCTATGATTGCAAACTTTCAAGCCACATATCATAATTTACCGTAGTCGCAGCGTGGTTAAGTGTTGCACACTACGTAGCGAGGATTGCAATAATATAAGATATACGGTGATTAGCAATGCAAATCAATTTATCCCCCGATGTTGATTACCCACCTATACCCACCCACAAGGCCATGAGCGTACCTATACCCACCCACCTATACCCATTGGGTATGGGTGGGTACATGGGTGGGTGTGAGTATGGGTACCCAATGCAGGACTCTTGTCCACTGCCACCAATCGCTGGCCGTCATTGCCGCTGCCGGCCACCATCATAATTTTACTTTACATTACATTCATTTTACTTTAAACAAAATAAAAATAAACTTTTGAATTCCTTTTACACTCATCCAATCAAATTCAAACATTTCAAATACATTACATTCCTTTTACACTATAATTCTTTTTCTTTGCATTCTTTTTTTAACAAACAAAACAACCCCTTAACTTTAACTTATAACTTATGCTGTTCTCCATATCTTTATATCTTGTTATTTGATTTCCAAGATATTTGAATTTTTTAAGTTTAGATGTCAGTTAATCATTCTATTACACTGACTAATAATTGTCAATCTCATATCTACTATAATCACATTTCATTTTCTTACTCCTTGGTGCCAACCTCTTTATGCTTTAAACTTCTTCTGCATTATTGTTCTTATTTTTTAGCTCTAGGAGATGCTGTTAGACCGGTCCAGCCGGTCCGCACAGGACCGGCAAGTCACAAAGAGCGACAGATCTCCGCCTCCTGCGGAGATCGATCGGCCTGACCAGCCTGTTAGATCATTTTAGGAAGCATTTTTTTAGCGTTTTGAGAGGGAAATTTGAACGTAGGGACTGTTTAGGGAATTCCTTTTGAATTGTATGCATTAAATAGTAGATTTTCCTAGGGTTTGATCATCTTGAATT